GGCTGCCTTAGCCTTCCAGTCGTCGGCACCCCTCCAAAGGCCACCATCTCCCACCACAGTCCCGCTCCCATCTCCACTCCCCATGCCGCCAGGCCCCCTCTCCCATCTCCCAAGAATTTGAAATTCAAAATATCTAAGCACTCAATAAATACATTCCTAAAATAATCCTCCCAAATTATGAAGGTTTATTAATTTGAATTCATCCAAATCTTTGAATATCTCAAATGATATTCCCTCCCTATAAAATTCAATTTTAGGAAACCTCTCTTAAAATAATCAAATCTGAAATTAATTTCCAGATTGATTTCAATCACAACCAATTATATTCCCGTATGCGTCCACTGCATACATGAACCGTAGACACCTTTGCCCCTTCATTGTGGCCGTCCCCCCCTCCCCTACTATTCCCTTGATCATTTACTTCTTTCCCAATATTTGCGAGAGTTTGAGAGGAAATCATTCAAATTCTGAACTTTCATGATATACTTTTCTAGTACAATATTTGAAAACACTTTCCATACATGTTAGCATTGACCATTAGATTGCATAATTGGAGTCTATAACTCTCTCAATTCAAACATTCAAATTTAACATATAGACACGGAGGTTATGAATGTTCATCAAGTTCCTCGATAAGTCATTAATGGTTCAATTAGGAACACTAATTAAAACCTTCCGTGTGACTCTTGAATTCAATTTCACAATGCTAGTCTTCTCCTCGCTCAGAAATCTCTTGAAAGACGAATTCCGTAACTGCTAGGTGGTTTTCCAAGAAGTGCATCCCTTGTCAACCTACTGTAGTCCTGGCTTTGCTCAAAGTGCTTGTATTGCTGCGCTGCCCACCGTGATTTACTACCTATTTGCCCCTCCAAGCCCTGACAGTCAGGTAGGAAACAAGCTGAATTCCTCCACTCCAGGCTGACTCCTCCAAGGTCCTAGACGGGTCGTTTGAATCTGCTGTCCTAATTTTGGGACATTAAAACTGTTGTTCCCATTCAATTCCAGCTGAGGCGAGCTCAATAGTTTTGCTGCTTGGCAATCCTCAATTGCTGTCCAGAAGATTTCCAGCAGCAGGAAATAGCTGTCTGACTACCCAGTAAGTCTCCCGCTGCACCCCACTTTCCAAACAGGATCTATATCCAAGTCCAAAGAAAATTTCAATACAAGAGACGGATTGCCAGCTTGGGGAAAACCTTCTATGTGCTGCTCCAAGTCCCAACCAGGATTCGGTGACTCTCTCTCCTTATTCTTTTTTCTCCTAGTTGCATCACATTTGTGGAATTAATTGATTCACTGGATGTGTTAGTCTTTATCCGCAAAGGCCTAGCAAGATAAAGAGTTGAGTGAAGGCGACCCTTGTTTAGTGACAAATTTATTCTAGCATTGGAATTTATGTTGGACATCATTGCATCAAGTTAGATTAAGTTGCTATTTTACGATCTTAACTCCTATGCTGATGTGGTTTAGCCAAGTTTGTCTTAACCGCTCTCTGTGTTTTATTACGGTGTTTAAATTCACCATTAATATAGTTATTTGTTCTAGGAATATTAACTGCAAATTCCTTAAGCCAATTCATCCATGCAATCATGTTTCACATAATCCCACTTCTCCTTCCACCACCTCCACATGTGACCACCCAACGTCAAACTCCTCCATACTCTCTGATACCCCACCCCCATCTCACTCTCTTATCATCTTCTTTCTGCATTTCCTTTCTATCTCCTATCTCTCACTCCTCCTCTGCCAGCTCTCCTCTCTCTCTCAACTTCATTTTCCTTTCTTCTCTCCCACTCTCAATCTCCTCTCTAAAATAAAAACAAAAATGACAAAATAATCAAAAAAAAAGCAAAGAAAATGGAAAAAAAAAAGAAAAAAGAAAATAAAAGAGAAATCCAAAAAAAAGAGAATATATAATATATATATAACACAACAACAACAACAACATCAAGCCTTTATCCCACTACGTGGGTCCGGCTACATGAATCCTTTTTCTCCATTGTGTCCTATTAAAAGTCAAATTCTCATTTAATCTAATAAAGAAGTCATTCCTAATATTTTCTAACCAAGTCTTTTAGGTCCTACCCCTACCTTTCTTAACATAAGTCAAATCTAATACCTCTACTCCCTCCTAACGGCGTCATCGAAGCCGCCGTTTTATGTGACCAAACACCTTAAGGCGACTTTCTCTAATCTTATCTTCTACTGGAGCTACTCCAACCTTTACACGTATATGCTCATTTGGTATCCTATCTCTAAGGGTAAAGCACTCATCCACACTGAGCATCCTCATCTCATGTCACACTTAACTATATTTATGCTTCTCTTTTAAGGCCACATTCCCACCATATAGCATTGCAGGCCTCACTACCATCTTATAGAATTTTCCCTTAAAGTTTTGAGGAGGTACATTTCTATCACATAACAAGCCCGATGCATTCCTCCAACTTCCAACCATCCAACTTGATTTCTTGCTGATAATATCCCCATCTATTTCCCCATCACCTGGAAAATAAGATAAGATATAAAACGTGTCTTTATTAATGACTTGATCGCCCAAAGTCACAATCCCTCACTAGGTCTATTACTACTAAAATGTACACTCCATATATTCCTTTTAGATCTACTCAGCGAAAACCTTTAGACTCTAAGGTTGACCTCCATAATTCAAGTTTACCTTCAACTCCCTTCTAGTCTTATCAACAAGAGAATATCATCAGGCAAAAAGCATACACCAAGGTACATCCTCTTGCAAATGTCTAGTGAGAACATTCATGAGATAAAGCAAAAAGATATGGGCTTAAGGCTGATCCTTGATGTTAACCAACCAAATAGGGAAATATTGGTTATCCCCTTGTGTATTATCTTATTATATATATATATATATTATCTCTCTATATATATATATATATAACATTTTTTATCCTCAACACTACTTCATGTGAAGGTATAACACTCACAACACTTAAAAAACTCAAAAATCCCGGTGGTAATGTGCACAATGCGACAAAAACTCATATGTGACATTAACGACGTAACGACTAAGCTTTGAACATGCTCTTCTTAGCATAGTGGGAAAAAATTACCAGTTACAAGCAGGTAAATGAACACATATACACGCCTCTTTTGGCATGGTAGGATAGAAAACTCCAAGTGCAATTTCACATGACACCAAACATGCATTCCTTTCTTGCATTAGTGGGCAAGCCTAGTACTCTCGATTATACCCTCTTACTTGAGAAAGATGCTGGAAAGGTGTCAAATTTTATATTAATAAAGGATCGAGCAGATAAAAAATGACTCATACACATTTTTCTTAGCATTGAGGGATAGAAAACCACAACCATGATGCCTCATAAGAACACGCAAATATGTCTTTCATGGTATGATAGACAGACATAACACTCTTCCTTACACCCTCTACATAGGAAAAATGCCAGGAGGTTACTAAAATTTATACAAAGTAATCAAACATTGAACATGACTTTAAATAATATATTAAAATAAAATATAGTTAAATAAAAAATAATAAAATGAACTTAAATCTTTGACTTAAAATTGAACTTATGCGAAACTTGTAACAAACTTGAAAAGCTCATTTGCAAGCACAAAACATCTGTGCCCCACATAAGAACATTTGCAAACTCCAAAAACCCACTCGATGAACTGAAATGGAATTAAAATGAACTTACTGCTTTCCTGTTTAAAGAAGAAAAAAATATCGTGTGGTTCTTGCTCATATTACTATAATGCCTGTATGGACAAACGTTGCCTCCATTAATAGATAAGGGCATTTGAAAATGAATCAATCCGCCTTCAGCACTACCAAATATGCATACACTCGCAAGAGGACACAATGTGTGCTCTCAAACACAAAAGAATGAAATTTTATGCATTTCAATGGTTGGATGAATGACCAAAATTCGAGCATTTAAAATTTTGAGCATATTTGAAAGATAAAATGTCCATACAAAGATATCAAATATGAGTATTTTTAAGATATTGCGCGCATCAAAATATAATTTTTAAAATTTGGGAACAAGCGCCTTGAGAAGAATGTCATTGCATTGAAAAATATGCATACACCTCAAGAAGCATGGCACTGCCTCATAAAGCCTCATGAAGAGCCTAAAAGCCTTGAGAATTGTGTAGTAGCATCAAGAAGCGCAAAGCAATGAAGTGTAAAACTGTCCCAAAAAGCATGCTACAGCCTCCAGAAGCATATCACCTCGACAACCATGTCATACCCTTAGGAAGCGTGCCACCGCTAAGCACAAGGAAGCATGCCACCACCTCGAGAAAAATGCACTAGCATCAGGAAAGGTGCTACCACTTCAAAAGTGTCATTGCCTTAAAAAGCATATTGTTGCCCAGAAAAGTATGCTATTATTTTAAAAATAAAAAAATCAAAACATAGAAAGGCATGCCATCATGCTTGCAAATGCACTAAAAAGCATGCAAGTATATCACATAAGCTCATTAAAAAGCACACAAATATATAAAAAGCATGTGAATGCACTATGCCAAAAATCATGCAAACACATTATGAGAGCGCATTGGAAATCATGCATGCCATTTAAAAAGAAATTAAATCCTTGCGCGTGCAACAAATGTATTAAACGCATAAATACAAAGCTTGATAATACTAAGAAGGGTTAAAAGCAAGTTAAAGTAAATAATTATTTTAAAATTAAAATATCCGCATGTGCTCCAACCAATATATCAAACTACATTTGAGATCTCATAATGCTACTTGGTTAAAAGCAGGCGAAATAAATTCCTAATTCAAATAAAATTACACGCATTTGCTCTTAAATTTAAGATCCAAGAATGTTGCATGGGTTTAATAAATGTGACCATAAATTTAAAGTACAATCCTCCTCCTTAAAATGTTAAGGACTGAAGTTGACAAGACTTGATTTAATAAATAAATATATGACATTCCCATAAAGATATTTGGTTTTATATTCACATTAGGCCATAAGCCTTTTACAAAAAAATGTCATAACAAATTGCAAATTCTCAAGCTAATGCTCATATGACAATTCACAAAACAAATAATTGAGCATGACCCTCTATTGGCAAGCAAGTAGAGTCAAAAAAGTTTAAATAACAAATAAAACTATTTAAACTCAAATGATAACCGTATTAAAATAAAATCTCAACAGAAGGATTCCATTTTCTAAAAAAAACAAATTATACCATAAGTATAAACATTTCAAGTGCCTTCATGATCTCTCTTGTGATGGTTGTGTTGAAAGTAAAACCTCAACTAAAATGATCAATGCTTAAAATCCAATTTTTATATTACAAATATTAATATTTTAAAGTGACTTCGATGACACCCCACAAATGGCCATGTTTATAGAAAATCTAAACCAAAGGGAAATACATAATTTGAAAAATGCTCCCTCACCCTCAAATTCAAAAATTAATCACTTGAGCTCAAATCCAAAATTAATCACTCGAGCTCAAATTCTAATAAAAATTCAATATTCAATATTTATCAAATTTTAAAAATATTCAAGACACATAAAATTCAACTAACTTAAAGCAAAATTGCATCTACCCTTTGCAACCATTTATTGGGTATAAAAATTTTAAGAATAACTTCAACTCATAAAGAGTTCATATCTTATCGAGAATGTCACTAAAATTTATTTTCAAATTATTTCCCGATAATTAGGGCCTGTCACATATCCTCAAACCAGTGATCTGTTGCATAATAGAACCACCGATAAACAATTATGATCGAGGCCTCTCAAACAGAGTGGTTTTATTGTAGAAAGATATTATTAAATTACAATCATGATCGGAGCCCATATATTTCCCAATGACTAAAAAATTCTTGAAAAATAAACCATAAGATATACTTGATAGTACACAACCCTCGGTTAACAAAGGTCGACATGAATTTGTCTCATTTAATATACACACACCTCAAGTCTAGAAGATGCATTTAAACAAAACAAACCCATATACTTGATAGTAAGGGGTCTCAATTATTGACCCGACCCAATAACCCTACCCAAAAAATTTGGGTTCAAGTCGACCCATTAACAAACGGGTCTAGTTCGAGTTCTAGTTCAGGTCGACCCATTACAATTATCAAAGCTTTACAACTTATTATTAATTCCCACACAATTCCTATTTCCTTATATGTTTCACATCAATCTGTGTCTTCAAATTAAAAAGGTTGCATCAACAAGGTACAAGAAGCTCTTGTAGAGGAAATTGAAAAACATCTTTCAGATGTATATGCGAAGTGTTAGGAGTCCCAAATATAGGTGGTTGGTAAGTAATGCAAGATAATGGCGGGGAAACTAAATTTTGATGTGGATACGTTAAGATTTTACTATTCTCACAGTATAGGTTTGTGAAGCTTGATAATAAATCATTTACATTATATATTATAATCTGACAATATGAATATCTCATGCCTTGGGTATAAGACAAGAAGAAATCATTCACGTCATGCATATTAGATGGGATGATCTCAAGGAAATTCACAACAGGACAATAAATAAACCTTGCTATTTAATGAATAAGAAGAGAAATTGGACTCCACAAGCAAGCTAGTTAATAAAAAAAGAATGGTAATTAAGAAGAAAACATTTCTTGCTAGATTAAATGATATGAAGATCTTGTTCAGTCTTTTTTTTTTTAAGCTACCGATGAATATTGGACTTTGGATTTCACTTTAGATAATAATAAAGCCAGGTCCAAACAATTGGGATAAAGCTATGATGATGGCTTTGATTTAAAGAGAATCTTCGGACATCAGTAAATCCAGAAACAACAAAAAGTCCAAAAGACGAATAAAAAAACTGAAAATGATTTTCTTGTTTCACTTGCTTAAATCTAGTAATAACTGCCTTCCTAGAGGCACTAAAGTACATCCTCCGAAGCATTTATTTTCAGCTGCAGTCACGGCGGATAGGAAATCCATTTTTACTAAAAACTTGATTGATTGCATGGCATTAAGGCTTCTTGGGCTTACCTGCAAAGCTCGAACTTGGAATGCCCTAGATGCATATGGAAGTGAACGGAGAAGCACCAACAAAAGTTGCACATGTTCAATGCGGTGACCAGAGTCATAAATTTTCAGGCCGACATCAGATGAAGGAACATTCATCTTATGAAAAGAAGAAGAAGTGATTTAGAATTCTTGGATAATACCATTAAAAAGAGCATTAAGCAGCCTGAAAAATTCAAGTTTCACAATAGAGTAAAAAACCACGGTTGCATGGCCATGCTTACAAAATAACATGCAAGAGCTTACATTATTGTGTTGCCTTGGACATACTTAAGCTTTGTTATTTTGATGAAATCTGAAGATATGAACATGAAATAGGAAATAAATGAAACAATGAAAAGAACTTTACTGTACTCATTGTAAATATGTATTTTGATTCAAATGAAACCACCAACAGACAACCCCATGTTCCAACCATATCTTCAATCATGACTATAACTTTCAAATAAAAGGTAGAGTTCAAACAAAATTTTGGGTGAAGTTATCCTAACTAAATTTTAGACCAGAGCCTTCGAACATGCACTCACCTCAAAGTAAATCCAATAATTTTTAACATATTTACCAAAAATTTCATCAGATATCGCTAAACAAGCCTTTTTTTTTTTCTAAGGTTCCTCTGGTTGTAAGTCTTTATTATCCACAACAGAAGAGAACTGTAAAAAACAAGACATCAATTATCAAAGCATCCCACATATTGTGAAAAAGCAGACATCAATAAAGTAAGTGAAACTCCATGAAACTTTCTATTACCCACAGTCTTGTTCCAAATTCCAATTAGCAAGCTCAGTTTGATTTGTGACCTCAAATCAGCTAGTAATGCTTCCATCCATTAAACTATGGTCCACCAGGTCCTCTGATTTCTCCATGTAAACAATTAGGATCGCTTCCATCCTTTACACCCTCTCATAGCGGAAGACATTCACCACCAATCATAGGCCACTGGCAGCATTAAAACCCCACCTTCCATGCAACCCAAAACATAAGATATCTTTGAACTTTCCTCTTTCAAAGGTTTTAGAGTTACTGTCTTCTATGCATGGAAAAAGGTGGATGATATCTCCAGTGTGAGAGAAGCATGATCTTTCACTTAAATGCATAAAATCACCAGAACAAAATCGTGGAAACAGAATCACTAATAGTCAAGTAGTCAGCATCTGGGTCATTAGGTATTTTTAAAACCTCTTAGTTAGATAGGTTTCTTTTTTTTTTTACTTTTTTTTTATTTCCTATTTCCATATATATATCTTTTAAATAGGGGTAGTTTGGTAATTAGTGGCCTGCCTCCTTGGCCTTAAACTTGCTTATAAATAGCCTTTTACCTTTGAAAGAGGGTACTTTGTTTTTAGATAAGTTTTCTAAAAATTGAAGAGAGGAAAGAGAGTTCCTATCCTTGGGGTGGATTTTCTTTAATCTTCGGAGAGGAAGGAGGGAGTGTAGTGGAATCCAGGATTCCGCCAAAATCATACCAGAAGCTTCTTCATCCTTTTTCACCTGGCAATCTTGGTGTACAAAACTACAGATTACTTCCAACCACTTAGGCCCAACTGTCGGATTACCTTGCAGCAGAATTCTATCAAATCTGTGGCACTACCTATAGGTTTTTCACCCTGTTTCTAGGCTCGGTTTCCAGAAAACCCACCAGCTTTTGGGAACTTGAACACCACTATTCAAGCATCCTCCTCCTCCATGGATTACACCAACACCAGGAAGCCATTCAGGTTTCAAGAAAGCCCAAGAACATCTAGTTGAAAGAAAGGGTCATTTGATTACGCCAGCCTACATTAGGTCTCTATTGTCCAGTTTCTTCCTTTCTAACATCTTATTTGGCCCTGAACATTCATCTACTGATTTTGTAATGTTCTATTTCAGGAACCAAGACCGTCCAAGGCCTTCACCAGCCGTTTTCCCTTACTGTCTTCATCCAGAAATCAGGTGCAGATGTTTTACTACAACAGAAACTAAATAAAGCAGCCAGCCATGGAATTCATTAACACAATTCCAAGCATACAGCATCATAGTTTGTTTTTTAATATATTTCTAAACTTTCTGTTTCTTTTCTGTTCTTCCTTCTGTTTCTTTTCCATCTCTAGATCTTTATTGGGCTTTAAAGAGTGTTAGTTGGTTGCCAAGACTTCTTGTAGGGTTTGAAAATTTTAGGAATTTGAGTGTGTTCTTTTCCATTGTTTTATGAATTAATCTTGTCTCTTTCTTGTTTCTATCGGTGTCATGTCAGCTTAAACGTTATCCAACTTCAGCATTACAAGCAGCCAAGGCTTGTCCGAAATGACTAGTCATATTTCTCATAAATATTTATCTCTTCACACTTTTCATTGCATTTACATGATCATAACGAGAAGAAGGTCACATAATGTTTGAGAAAGTTATTTATGAAAGTGCATTTATCACAATTTTTCCGTGCAGCTATGAAGAACAGTACAAGTAGCCAGCAAATATCAATAGCATAGAGGAGAAGAAGATAGTAACAGATATCATCTAAATACTACGGAATGCCCAGAAAAAAAATTAATAGAAACATGAACAAGTAAAATGTTACCAAAGAAGTAAACAAGTATCATTAAAAAAAAAAACGGATCATATAGAGGAATGATGGAGAAACAAAAGATGTAACCAACGAATAAACACATAATCTCAGGTAACACAAAAACCAAAAGAAAAAGTTAAAAAAGCTGTGCGTGTGATGAAGTGAAAAAGGATAGGTTAACACATTTATAATTTAAGAAGTCCTCAATATGTGCATATATAAGCTTCTCTGTGCGACAAGTTACACAAAGAATCTGTCACGAACACTAAACATAACAACAAACACCAAATAAAAGAAGGCAATATATTAAAGACAGTGTTAAGCTGAAAAAGATTTATTATCCAAAAGAGAATAATGAAGAGTACGAAAAAGTAAATTCTCAAACAAAGATGGATAAATACTCAATAACAAGATCAAATATGCAAGAACCAGGAAAAAGAAATGACCTTAAAGGTTTATCATTTCAAAACTTCTTGCTTACTCAAGTTTGGTTTAAGAATAGGGCATTGAAGATTAAAATAATGACAATACGTTACAAGTAGAGAATTGAAGAACCTCACAAAATAGCACCAAAATTTTAAATAATGCCAATAGCTAGAAATAAACAAAAGCCCCAAAGTTAAAATCTAGATCCTTTACCTTAAGATCCGTCACTCAAATTTAAAATGGAGGCTAGCGGAAGAGAACCGTGAGCAGACTTAGCGACGCCACTAGTAGACAAGTGATCTTGAGAGGACTTGTCGCCGGGAAGGAGGCCGGGTTCGGAGGAGCGGGAGGACGGCTTTCGATGATCCACGTGTAGACGGAGAAATGATCGTCGATGGAATCCACGAGGGTTGGTAAGATCCGGTCCAAGTACTCTTCGGGGGTGTCGTCAAAGTCAAATCCAACGTCGAAGAAGGGTGAATGGAGGATGTCGACTCGTCCGTTGTTGTCGTATTCAAATCCGAAATTCCATTCGGGTTCATCCATGCATGGCGGTAGTGAACGATGAAACCCAAAGAGGGGAGACGATCGACTTAGGTGGAGAAGGCCAAGGGTAGAGCAAAATTCCAAAATCTAAAATAGTTTCAGAAGGCTGACGTTGGAGGATGGATTTGGTTGGAGAAGAACAAGTCACGTCCAGATTGGAGCTTGGTTAGGGGAGAAAGCTTCAGGAGAAAACAGTTTCAGTTTTCTGGAATTGGAGTCTAGTATTGGGACGTGGAGAGGGAACACTAATTAGAAAATTAAATTAGTTTCCAAGTGAAGAGAAGGGGGGGAAGCCAGCGGTTTAGTGAGGGATTATGAGGATTAATGGGTGGCTATTAATGTAATTGGAGAGAGAAGTAATGGGTAAAGGGGGCCGGCCAAATAGCAAGGAGGGAGAGGGAATTAAGTAGAGTGGGGTCCACCTATTTGAATGACAGAATTTAAAAAAAAAAATCTGTAATAAAACGGATGTTGTAACAAGGGAAGCTTTCCTTTAACTGATGGGGAAATTAGGCAATGTTTGAATTTCAAATATGCTTTAATTCTCAATTGAAACAATTGCCTAAATTCTAGGAATCAATTAAGGAAAGGTAATCAAGGCTCAAGAGGAATTTTGAAATTCAAACCAAAGAATTTTCAGAGGGGCGGCGGGGTGGAGCCTGTGGCCGGCGGGATGGGCTACGGGGCTGGCTGGCCGGCGGATGGCAGGGCTGTGGCCGGCGGGAGGCTGGCCGGTGGGTGGTGGTGCTGTGGCCGGCGGGAGGCTACCGCCAGTGGCCAACGGCCTTGGCTGTTTGGAGGGGCCGGCGGCAACAGTAAGGGGAGAAAACAATTGAAAATTTCTAGGGATTCGACGACTACGGATTTACTAACCTCGCTTGTCTCCACGTTGATTTTCCACAAGATTAGATAATTCGAAAACTAGAACTCACTAAGAGATCTAGTTTTCTCCGGCGAACTCACTAAGAGATCGTGGGGAAATGAACTCACAAAGAGAACAAATGGCTAAATTTCATTTTCATCAAAAACTAAAAGATTACAATGCATAATGCCTCATATAAGGAGGCTCAAACTAAAAGAAAAGAAAATACATGAACGCCCTCAGGGCTACATAAGTCAAACAATGCCCTCAGGGGCAAACTAGGAAAACTTAGAAAAGAACACATGACATAAGCTGTAAATAACTCAAAAGTAGAGGCTTTGGATCGTAGCCGTCGATCTGCGCCGTCGGCGATGGTACACGTGTCGAAATCTGATGTCCCCATCATGACACTTGAATAAAGGAATGAAGCTAGCTCTAGATGGGCACAAGTACAGATAAATAGGCGGGGACATCACAACAGAACAAAATATAATATTGCAGTACAAGCTTTACCACAGATAAAACATCAAACTGTAAAATAATCGTAGCAAGGAATTTATATATTGAATTAAATAAGCATGAAGTAACTAAAAGAAATTCAATTTGAAAGGACCCTACGCAGAACCATGAAAATATAAATATTTGTAACCTTACCACGGCAGATAGCAAGGCCACGTAGGTATTGTTCGTCATAAGCCTGAATGGTGCTGCTTGAAAAGCCTTATGAAACGCAAATAATAAAAGAGAGATCATGTCACCAGATATTACACTGCCTAATCCACTACTTTGTGTTTTGTCGGGTAAATTTGAAAGGATATGACTCTGTTCAATTTTCAAATAACCAGATGAGATAATGGCACCCAAAAGCTTGATTATTCCAACAACAATACCATCCCCATTGTCAATGTTATGTGAATTAAATATAAAAACACTTTCAGAAGTTACTGACAAAATATTGCTGCGTATTGCGTTAGATATCTGACTCTCAGATGTCCTTGAGCCTTCTATATTTGTTTCAAGGGGACACTTAATATCATTGCCGTAACTATTCAAACCACGATGAATGTGCTTTTCATGCAAGTCCGTTTCCTTCTGCTTCAATGAATCAAGTTTATCATAATCAATCACTGGTTTTTCAAGGCTCTCTTCGCCTCCACCTTTCTCAAAAGCAGATTGGACAGAGGCCTTATCAGCGTTTTGAAAGCTTGATTTATCTGGAAGTTTATCATCATCTTTAATCTTTGTTTCTCTCTGTAGAAGAAAAATAAAGGCATCTATACCTCCACAAGAAATAAATGATTGGGCATATGCATCCGCCCTAGCAGAGTTTGGCTGCACAACCAATCTATATATAAGATGCAACACTCTTACAACCTGCAGAGAAGTAAAAAAAAAATTAAGATAAAAAGATCTAATGTAAGAGACCATTAAACATCCAACAATTTAGATGTTTTTATTCTTTTTTCTTTCGCATCCATATACATACTATCAAGGGAAGATATGTAAAATACTTCATATCATAACCCAGGTATATGTCTCAACAAACTCAATGCATATAGTGTAAAAACTTACCATAGAACAATTACAGCTTCAAGCATTACACACAGGAAAAAGTGCAAATCAGCAAACAGTAGTACTAAGACAATAATGTTCCAGGATCTAAATAGCAAAATGCTTAAGCAATAGTATCCTACTCAGAAAAAAAAAAGGTGGAACCTTGGTATGGTAAATGAGAAGGGCTTAGGCTCAACTTTACTCAGAAAAGATGCTTCGCTAGAACACCAACAGATATAACAAGTTAAACTTCTATCAAGCCACAAAGAAAATAACAAATGAGGACCAAATAACATTTTCATCTGTGCTTTGGAAGTTATTAAAGAAGACAATACAATTCATTTTCATTATAAATAACACTAGATGAAGAGAACATGATAAAGACAGCAGCAGACTAGAAGAAATGACCAGTGTAAAGTTTTATTATTATTATTATTGATAAGCTCGGTAAATCCCTTCTTCTTGAATGAAGAAAATAAACAATTACAAAGTATCAGGATTAAGAAAGAAGCCTTGGAAATTAGAATGAGAAGAGAGGATAGTACAAAATGAGATATTTTACTATTGAGATTTATTCACTTGTTTTATGACCGGAAAAAAAAAAGGATGAAAAGTTGTACATTAAAAGGTAGAGAAATTTATCAAGGAAAGAAGTAAATCAGAAAGCCGATCTTCAATTCTAAAATTCATAATTAATACACAATATATTGTTCAAGTATTATTTGTTTGTTATAGATTTAAAATTGTTGCCCAAAAATTATTGAATTGTTGTAGATGGAAAGTTGTTGTTAACGAACTGTTGGGCAGCAACAAATAAAAAAGTGTAGGCCACAAATTCAGGATTATTTCAATACTATCTCAAACTAGGTTGTCTATATTAATCATGCCTAAGTTGCTGATTGGAAAATCAAAAATCATAATGGGTAAACCATTCTTGATTCTATACAAGTAATTTGAGAGTTTATTGATACATAATTTAGTTGGGCTAATTTATTTCAAAATGTTTTGTGATGAAACGTAGAACTATCTCAATGTATTTAATGGCAGTCTAATTGTTACAGTACACTTTTAAAAAAGTTTTCGATTGATAGTTTAGTTCTTTTAATAATATCTTTAACCACATTCCTTCACAAATGCCAAGTGCCAGCACCATTTATTCAAAACTGCTCCTTAACACCATATACGATTTTTTTTCTTTTTGTAACCAAGTTTTCTCATGCATAAGTAATACAGTAAGAAGTGGATATTTGGTCCATTGCATCAACATCTATGAATTTTTTTTTTATTTCCTTATTAGAAGACATTTTATATAATAGGCCATTCCCTGGTATCATTTGAGATAGTTTTAAGCATAGTTAATAGATTTTGTGTGGTATTTGGTAAGATTGTTCATGTATTAACTCACAACACTAAATGGGAACCAAATACCAGATTAAGTGACAGAGGCGGATGAGTTTACCTACAAAATGTTGTAACTACCTTTAGCAACAAGTATATTGTCAATGGTGATCCCCAAGCCCACCCCGCTTCCACACCCCCACCCCACTGCCATGCACACCAAAGTTTTTGGCAGCTTACATCCAAAAATTTTTATGTCTTAATATAGATCAAAAATATACTCTGAAAAATAAAAACACGTTATTTTGATCATATCAATTCCATACCAAGAAAGGATTTTAGATTTCCAAAATCTTTTAACTCAAACTTTCTTGCTCGAAAATCTCTTTAATCCAGTGAGCTCTTTACCAAAATCACTTGTCAATACAATATCATCTACATATAAACAAAATCACATTTTTCCCCCTTAGGTGATCACTTGACAAAAAGAGTGTGATTAACTTGAGATTGAGTGCACCCACACTTTCAAAATATTCAAATAATTTGACCAACTAGGCACAAGGGGACTATTTGAGGCCATAGAAAGAATTTTGGAGTCTGCATACCTTACCGTTGTTCCACTGATTTTCCAATCCAAAGGGGATCTCCATATGAAACTCCTCCTAAGGTCCCATTATGAAAAGCATTGTTCTTGTCGATTAAATGTGAAGGGCCAATCAAAATTTGCCACAAAGAGTGCAAAACTCAAATTGTGCTGAGTTTTAGCAATGCGAAAGAAAATTTCTTGGTAGTCAATATCATATGATTTGTGTAGCCGTTGCAAGAATAATGGCTTTAAATTTATCTGTGCTCTCACCAACTTTATATTTGACTATAAAGATCCACTTGCATGCAATTGATTTTTTTTTTTTTTTTTTTTTTTTTTTTTTTTTTGAGGTTCATAAACTTCTCACACACCATTTTATCCAAAGCATGAATTTTTTTCGTAAATTTTTCAACTCAAGAATTTTAAGAGCTTCTTGAGCATTGTTTCGATTTTATATTTCATTAAGAGATGTGGCAAAGTATGAAATCAAGTGAAAGCTTTTAAGTCATGAAATTACAAATTGGATGTTTCGTGCATGACCTCATCCCATTCCTTCAGGCAATAAGATAGTTGAGATTAGTATCACCGTCTATAAATTTAGGGTTCATTTGGAGCGTCAGTCTCGTTACTTCACTTTTCATACAGTAAGCACAATTGATGTGAAACTACTAGGAGTTACAATTAGAAATTAGAAAGAAAGTTAGTTAAAGTATTGCTCATTTAAATTTAATGGCAGCACATAAAAGTGAGTTAAGACTTTTGAAATTTTAACTTGCTTAGGCCAAAGACGTGCAATAGAACATAACCGAAACAATTCTTTCAAAGTTCAAGGTAATTTAAATGCAACGTACAATTAAAAAAAATCCAACCCTTAACAATGAGAGGTTCACCTCAAGGGCCGTCTCACTCAATTATTTGGAGGCTTTTAGCGGAGAAAGATGACCCATATTGTAAAACCCGAAATTCATCATTTGAGTGCGTCGCACGCATATCGATGCGCCGCGACGAACTAAAGTGAAATTTCGACGTCGTCGGAATTCGACGAAATAAATTTCGTTAGATTCGTCTCGAAATTTCGAGCGAAATGGAATAAAGAACTTATACCAAATTTCGCTCGGTTTAAGAGAGTTTAAATTTGCCGAACGATCATTTAAATAACATTTGGCTTGTTTTAAAAACCCATTTATTACCTTCCAGACTTAGTAAGGGAAGAGTATAGGATATGAGGGGGCACAAAACATGGCATAATTTCCTTTCACTCTCAATCTCTCCTTAAGAGTCCTTCTCACAGTTAAAAGCCTAAGGACCAAGAAACTTTTATCCGGTTCCCGTTGTTGTTTTCGGTTGGGCTGGGAAAACTCACCGAGAGAAGAGGGACGACGGGAGAGAAGGGATGAGGATACGGAAACACATGGTGCATAAACAATAGAATCTATCTATTGTCACGTACCTCTTCCAAAGCCGGCGAGATTTAAAAACAGAAGGCGAGGAAAAAGATTCCTACCGGCCGAGAATCAAGAGAAATCTTTTTATTTATTTTATTTATTAGAAGGGAAAGAAAAAAAAGAATAAAAACAACAGAGAAAGAAAAAAGAAGAACTTTAAAGGTAAAAGAAGTTTTTCACCAATCATCGATTCACCACATATATGCGGCAAATCATCCACTCCATTCAGATCATTTTTATTTTCCCCTCCCATCTTCTCCCATTCCCCCTTTCCCTTTTTTTTATAATACACACTGACTTTTTTTTTTCTTTTTTTCCCTACCCATTTCTGTAGCCCCCCTAAGTCTTTAAATATTTTTTTATTTTTATTTTTTCCTCTTCCCTTCAAAGTGTAAAAATAATAAAAAATTTTAAAAAAAAATAAGGGTCATTTCCCCTCAAAAAAAAAAAAAACACAGACAAACAAAAAAAACAGGGCAAAAGATAAAAAAAAAAAAAAATAACAACTACTCCATGTCAAATAAAAAACTTATAGGAATATTTAATTTTATTGAAAAAATGATTAAAATTAGGATAAGATAAACTAGAGAGAAATAGGAAGGTGGTACCATTAAAATTGCTAGCTTTAAAATTTACTACTTTTTAAAAAAAAAAAAAAAAAAACAAAAAAAAAAAAAAAAAAAAAAAAAAAAAAGTAAAGAGGAAAAAAAAGAAAAAAAAAAGAAAAAAAAAGAAATGAAGTTTTAAAAAACACGTGGAAATGATAATAATAAATATCCGTTTGAAATTCTTTTTGAGATTTTGGGATTTTAGGGCAAATCTAGGGTTTCTCCAAAATGTTAGTTTTTGTGTAAGACCAACTTTACATGATATTGTTTCCAATGTCTTAGGAGCCTCTAAATTAAGAAAATTAGATTTCGGAAAAGAAAAATTATTTTCCTAATTCCTAAAATTTTGCTAATCCGAAAATTAAGAGTATTAATCTTATAATTATGGAAAGAAAGGGTATCTAACATGCTATTGGAATGTATTAGAAGAAAATTTGGTTTCACAACCTTAGGGATTTTTAGGTAAAAAAAAACTGAAATTTCATAGGAATTTTTCTTAGTAGGTTTAAGGGAGAGTGTTAGGAGAGAGATCTTAATAATGCAAGAGGCTTATGTTATAGACTTTTGGATCCCATAGGTTTCAAGAGGGAACATTGTTGACAAGTAAGCTTTGCAAAGGAAAGGATAATAAGCTTGAGAGTAGGAATCTCATTTTCCTATTATTTTATGTATTTTATTTTTAAATTGATGCTTATGTTTATTTTTATTGTTAAATTGATGATGCAAGTGTTTAAGTTCAACTACTATTAATGCACTTAAATGATATAGAATGTTCTTTCAATGTACATGTACGTTCATGCCAAGCATATGAATATTTGAAAAGTGTTATGATAATTATATATA